CCTGAATGACATGAATGAGATTGTTCAATTAATCATATTCTTAACAATATGTCCCATCACTAAAACTGTCATGTCGCCATATTTGTTTACATCTTGTGCCACTTTAAGTAAAACGGGGTATAAGTATTAAGTATCAGAGTTTTAGAAAATTATCCACACAAGAACGTTTTTCTATATTGTATCAGATTTCAGTATTGCGGTACCTCTGTTCTTACAATAAATGAGCGATGTAGCTTTTCTTGAAATCTGACTAATGTATGTAATATTTTCTACGTACCGAAGAGTATTATTGACGTATACAATCCATTACGTTTAAATTACAGAAAATAAGGTTGTATGTGCTAAGATTCCTGTGATTTTATTTACTACTATATTAAATGTCAGGTGTCATTACTAACGTCAGTGTCGCTGTCAGTCGTACATTTTTTGACAGTTTTCCTAACCTAAAACATAACCTAAAATAATTTAGGAAAATTTTAATTATTTTCAATTTTAATGTACATATTAAAAGTTTGTAATTTGTGCTATAATCGTAAAATAAACTATATTAACGATTAATTCGTATTTTATTGGATCAATAAGAATGTTGTGATTACTGTGTTCCTTACAAAACACTATGAAGAGTGCAAGTAAAAGTAAAGGCAAAACTCCTAGTACAAGTAAGGAAAATGATGACGAAGAAGAGCGGTAAGTTAATTTTCACTGTTCCTATATAATATCAGGCATACGTAGTAGATACTACCAAAATTTTTATATTTATACAAAATATTTTGAATACTATTTGATGGAAGTGTTTATTGTACTAAGTAACTAAATATATAGTTTCAAATAGAAAAAGTACTTAAATTAAGACAAATTAATAGGGAACTTTACAATATTTGTTATAAAAAAAAAACATTATTGAAACTTATTAAAATAATAATTTTGTGATAAAAAGATAATAAGCTGCCCTTATGCTGTAAGAAAATTATTGTATTTTAATTTAAAAGTGTCTTCATAACAATAATACAATAGTTTAATTAATTGTTTGTATACTGATCTTTGAACTACAGTGGGTTTGCAGTAATCTGGATCCTATTCAATCTAGTTCATCCTGCAACCCTGAATGTGATACTCCTACTGACAATTAGACATCAAAATTTTGACAGATCTTCACACTTTTTGTGAAATACTTACATTTTTGTTACTATGGACATTTCTTTACTATATAATTACTTCCTAATTAAAATAAGTTATTTTTGTAAGGTTAATAGAACTATATAATTTTATAAAGACTAAATAAATATGTCGAGACAATATAGAGGGTCTCAGGTAGTAATCTATTATCTGACATTGCTCAGTAAAAGCTTTGTTGGATTACCTAATCAATAATTCTATAGATCTGTAACCTTTCTGCTAAGTTTCCAATTTTTCAACAATTGTTTGTATATTTAGGTGCATACTTAATGTATAAGTTTTCCAGAGGAATATACCAGAGTGAGACTTGTCAAATTAAATGTATTTATCTGGTTATAACAAATTTAGGGCATTAAATTCCAAAATACATTTATGGCACCAATTATAGTTGATCTGTTAACTACATATAAACAAGAATGTGGTATCGACATCTGGCCACCAAATTGTTAGTTTTAGGTTGTCATCAAAAAACCCACACATTAGCTCCTGTGACATGGTTTCATTTACAATGGTATGAAATACAGATGGTTTGTTTCCATTATACTATTCTGTTGGAGTAGTTCCAGCTTATTAACTAGCTGTGACACCATGTGGCATACATGGTGTAATCATCTTACCTTTTTGGCTTTGTTCTTGTATTTCCGTGCCATACTTATGCACTTAAATGCTGTATTACCACATGGTTTACTTTTGGAAAGGCATATAAATTTTATATTCGAATTTAACCTTGTTTGAAAAAAATTTTGGTTGAAAAAGTGTCATTAGCACCAATCTTCTTCTTCTAACTTATGTTTGTTCTAATCTCTGAAGACGCGTAAGTCGTCGTTCTTAAAATAAAATTCGTTGTAATTTGGTTCCTCTGTATAATGGGAGAAATTCGGCAGATGGCGGTGGATCCCATCTGATCGATTTTCCATAGTCCTCCAATGGTATAGTTAGAATAATTTTGGCCCACGATACGATAGAGTAGTTAGAAGCTGTTTCATAAGGCTTTTTTATTTGTTAATATCATGACTAACGCAGTGGTAAATTCCGTGAGATAATGCAAACGTAGACGTACGGTGCCGCCGCTATGCCAGCCGTTGAGTCACGCCCCGCCTCGCCAGGAATGTAACAGTTTTAGGACGATGCCTTTTGACATTACTGACCGTACCACAGACCGCACCCACTTTTGTATTTCACCAACTTGATATACATTGCTGATATTCTAGTATATTAACGAGTAATTGTTACAGCTGAAGGAACGTTTACGTTAAAAGAGTCATTTGTATATAGATTTGACTTTCATCATCAAATCATTTCGCAAAAAGCGCTGATCCAAAATTACCTTGAGCCTTGTCACATAAATTTTCTCTATAGGAATCTATATAATATGTATCGTATAACTGGAATTATTGCCCTAATATTATTCTATGCTTGATAACTTGAATTTTCGTCACCCTTGCAGGATGAGCTACTAAGAAATTTCTTACAGAATAATTACTGGTATAAATTCTGTTCGCACAAACTATATTTAAGCCGCGCTTATATCTAGCTGGCCTCGTCCCATCCTGCGTGTCGTCATTGCTCGATCTAAAGAGGCACAAGCAGGGCAATTGCCCAGGGTGGCAAAACAGAGCGCCGCAATCCTCTATGGACTATGCCCCTAATTTTATTTCTAGAGAAAAATATTAGGTATCATGCTTACGATGGGAGCTCGGAAAACTGCATTATTTAAAGTTTATTTTACATTTTTTTTTACAAATCATTCACCACAATGGGCTAATATACCGAAGATAGCAAGCTCATGGTTTAAAAGTGATTAGTGTTGGTGTAAAGGGCTGCTAATATTATAATTGCCCAACTATGTTATTCTGTTAAAAAAACAGCTTAAAACTCAACACAACTCAAGATCAATCGAATAAAATCAATTTTAAAAGTTAATAAAGGTCTTATTTCATTTAATGTTCAGAGCAGCTAAATAGGGCCCTACATGTCGCCGTACTGGCCATTTAATTAGTATATGACTGATTACATCGACGCCGTTCCGCGTGTTATGGAAATGTATAGTTGTTTTCATAATTTCTTATACTTTAATTGAATTTTGTAAATAATGATCAGTGAAATATATGAATTTGAATTAAAATTTATTGACATGTAATTTAAAATATAATGAATATATAATAATATTATTATTGACAATAAAAAAAAATATAATGATAAAATGTATGCGGAATGTGTTTATATAGATTTTTTAATATTATTGTTACTTTACTATTAAAATTTGATTAGGTGTAATAATATTTGGGTTTGAAGCATTGTTGAATATCCAAATGTAGATACATATTATTGCCCAAATATAATACTTTGACTTGACTTCGTTATTTTCTTCGTGAACTTATTTTATTAATGGAATTTATAGATAAAATAAATATTTTGTTAGGGCCGGCTCGTCCGTCTTTTATTTTTTAAGGGCGTCGCTCCAGTTGTTTTTCCTAGAACGCCAAGTTTCATTGAGCTGCTGCTGGATTTATTCAATTGCTACTAAAATTAAAAATGTCAAAAAAATGTTTAACGGATTCAGATAGCGACTAATTCGCTAACTAGTAAAAGTAACTAAACAACTAAATACTTTCGTTATAAACAACAAATGGAATTTAGATTTGTTTCGTAATTGGCTGATTACCCAATGGTGCGGCACCAAAATTAATTTACTCTTCTAATTAAACTGATTGTACAATACACTTAAATTCGAAAGTAAATGGTATTTATGTCTTCAAGAACGTTTAAATTTATATCGTACGGTAAAAAAAATCATTTACATAGGAAATAAATTTCCTTTATTATTACTAAAAGTTAAAGAAACGGAATTAACTATAACCTTCTTATTGAATGTATAAAGTACTTGTTGGTATATAAATTGTTATATAAAGTAAAAATAAACGTCGAAAAATTGGAAATTTCAACAAAACACAAACAGTAAAATTGTTGTAGAAGAAATTTCCTCCAAGCCATCATGTACCGTCCGTCGCGGACAAATTAGATAGAGCGTTCAATGCACACATCGAGGGTAAGAAGCTCTCATTACAATAATAATAACCATTTTTATCAAGTTATTTATATTTCTGAATTTTATTCTCATTACAAAATTTATTTTACTCTTTATTATACTATCGTACTATCGCTTAAAATATTCACCATAATCTGTAGTCCTGAAATAAAGAGTACCCTATTATTATCAAGTTTGAACAGCTGTTATAATGATTTGTTATATTTTAATTCTATCTGTTTTTCCGCAACCGCTCACGCAAATAATAGCCTATGTCAGCAGCGTGTGATGTAGCTTCCCGTAGATGAAAAAAATTTCGCGATCGGATAATCATTCTGAAAATTACTTCAAAAAACAATCAAAGTGAAAAACTTTACCTCTTCATAATCCTATTAATATTATAAATGTGAAAGTTTCTTTGTTTGGATGTTTAGATGTTAAGATGTTTGTCCGTCAATCATGCCGAAAATACTGAATGGATTTTGATACATATAGGTATACAGATAGGGTATTAGCTGACTTAGATAATAGGATACTTTTTATCTCACTAAACATTTCCCTAGGGTCCTCGTGGGCGAAGCCGCTGGCGAAAGCTAGTATTAGTATATATCATTCAAATTGTTATCATTGCTAATCAAAACTTGGTAGACGAACATGTTTTCCAAAAATTGTATCACGTTAAGCGGCCAAAATTGCTAATGTATGACCCATATTATTGCGATAAAAGTTGTACGATTTTATTTGCGATTTTCGAGCACTTGACCGCGTCGTGTTTCAGATTAGCGTACTAGTTGTCAGTTAATTTAGTGGTCGTATTCCGTGCTGCAGTTGACTGGGCGCTCCACGCTCGCTCTGACGTACGCTCCGTACGCTCGCTCGCCGGCCCCGCTACCGAATACGTTTCCGTACAACTAAATAATTCACAAATTGCAGCTCCCGCGTAGCCTTGCGATTCTCGAGCATCCAGTCGGGCAGGCTTCATGAGTCAATTTTGCAACGCGACTTTATTAACACGCCGTTTGTTTTTGGCAGTTTTCAATATTCAAAATTTGACTGTCTAATTTATTTTTAATTAACTTTTCAAATTATGGTTTGATTTACGTGTCTGTGGGAGAAATGTTGTCCATGGAATCGTTGTGGTCTGGTTCTGAGGGAGAGTTGTCATCTTTGAGGCTCTGTAAAACCGCCTTGGAAAGGTCGGAATACCGGCAATGTAGACGGAAGCCTTCGAAGAGCCTAATCCCCCAAGGATTGCTTCACGCCTTGCCCGAGCCACAGCCTAAATCTCACAGGCGTCGCAGATCTGGCACATGGCCGTAAGTGATGATTAATTTAAATTTGCAATTATTTATATTATACTAGCTTTCTTCCAGCGGTGTCGACTGCGTGTTCTTGTTTTTTATTATACATATTAAACTTCCTCTGGAATCACTCTGTACATATAAATATAATAAATCGTTGGGTAATTTAAAAGATCTCAGCGGACAGACAGCGGGAAGCAACTATATTTTATTTTGTTTATTATGTTTAGGAATACCTACTTACATACAGTACGTTTCTATTATCATAATTAAATTGTACTTGAACACATTGATATCACTTTTGAATTTATAAATGCCTATTGATATCGTTCTTATGATTGTTTACAAACTGGTATTAACTAAAGTTACTACTTACTACTCTAATTAGTTATTTTTGTCATCAGAATTCTGTTTTGTTTTCTATAAATTATTCATATGATATGTCATTTCTGATAATTATTAACAGCCAAGGCTTTCATGCAAAAGTATTATTACTAATTATTACTACTACTACCAGTTCTATACTTTGTATGTGAGTATGATCGGCGTCCCTTATCATAGAGTTGTCATAAAATTGTTCTTCTAATAATACGTAGGCTTTTTAGATTAGATTTTTTGTACGTTCCACAAATGTCCTAATTGTAATTTTTAAATAGATTCCGTTTAGTTGAAATACTAAAATATATTCAATCTTTATAGTTGATAAATAGAGACTTGAAGACTTTTAAATACCCATAAACATCAGATATGAACTTATTAAAATTTTATGGAAAATTTTCTGTGAAGGCTTTCCGCCATCTTTATCAGCGCTGATTTTATTAATGATACATGTTAGATTAAATCATGAAGTCATTTATCAAGCAGTATCTTATCTATCACCTTTTGTTTAATGTCTTTGCTCGTCACTATAAAAAGCAAATCTGATAATTTCACAAAAAATATATAAGTTTCTATCTATCTACTAGTTATTCTATCTAGGTACTAGTTTTATTTTACTGCTATAATTTTTACTACTACAGGAAATTTTTACTACTAGTCGGTCGCCGATCTCCGCTGATTTCTATTTTGAAGGCGTCGGTTCTATTTTTTTTTTTAATATTTCTTTTCATGATTTTTAGTGATATTCATATTTTTATAAAAAAGGTAACACTAAAAATATTAAAAATTTCGGATTTAAAATGAACGCAAAATAAGCAATCTTTTGTTTAATCTAGTGATATCTGATGAAAAGCATATTTTGTTTTGCTATAAAAGGAAAAGTACCGATTCGATGTCGATAATAACCTGCTCCTTTTCGATTTTGAAGTAGGTTAGAAAGGTTAATCTTCTAAAACACCCGAGTTTCTCCGTTGAACTAAAGATATTTTATACCTTAAAAAACACTTACGTACCATTATTTCTTCATACATACATTTTGCATATATGACCCACATACCAAGCGAAGCGCAACCGCAACCTTCCAATGTCATAATAACTATCACCATAAACATCCTTTTGTGATCATAATCTAGCCAGTCGTAATTAAATTTTATATACAATTTATTTATTTACATAAACAAGCCTTACAACAACAGATATGTCCATACAAAATACTTACAAAGATTAGATTTATTATCACTGCTTATTATAAAAGTGTTGCATTTAAATATAAGAAATATATTTGTGTTTTAATGTCAGAACAACACATAGTGTTATCGTGATGTCATATTAACAAAAATAAGATCTTGGTTAAATCAAGTTACAATAAAAGTCTAATGGATGTATAAAATATTAACATACACATCACTACGTAGTATAAAACAAATTCGCTTTCTCTTGTATGCTTAAATCTTTAAAACTACGTAACGGATTTAGATGCGGTTTTTTTTTATAGATAGAGTGATTCAAAAGGAGGGTTTTTATGTAGAATACAAGACCACGCGTGCGAAGCCGCTGGCGGAATGCAAAAATAACATTATCAATCTACAAATTAATAATTAAGTGAGACATTAAAACTCAAAACTATTGAAAACTGGAAAAAACGCGCCTTCTATATGAAGAGGTACGATGAATTTTGAATATCTATTTTATTAAAATAAGTAAGTTCATTGTATGTTGAAAGGAAACCTAAAGTTCAAAATATGATGAAAGTGTTTCGATGATTGGTTATTATTTGACAAATAACATATACTCAGTTGACAATCATATAAATATTTGAATGAATAAGTATTATAAGAATTTATAATACTTATCTTACCTACTGTTTAATTCTACTGCTGTCCACTCTTACATGTTCATGTTTTGTTTATTATTGTAAGTGAAATCTGATTGATTTTCCACCATCCACTGTACGTTTAAGGCAATCTCCAATCACCGAGAAAACTAGTACATCCAATTGAATGTCGAAGGGTTCTTAGAAAATCATCATCGGCTTGCTATAAATCGACTTTCTCATTCATTATGTATAGGAAAATGGTATTTAAAACCCGTTTTATTCTGACCAGTTTCAACTGTAATGCTGAATGTTTATATTCCTTTATGCAAATAATTTCTTATTGCAATTCAATATCAATAACTTTTGAAAATAATGTGTCTGTCCAGACCTCAAACATTTCTGCGCCTTTCGAATACGATTTAAAGGTTACGTTTTTTTTTGTGACTTCGGTAATGTTTATGTATAAACGTAATAGAACATATGATCAAGTATTTTCAAACCTCAATCATTAACTTAAATAACAGGCAGATTAAAAAAAATTACGATTTACAGGCCACTACAATCGTAAATATTTTACGATTGTAGTGGCCTGTATTGCCTGTGCCTGTAATAGCACATTCTGTGATAATGGTGTCCGTACTTCGACAATGTAACTAATGTCTCTTTAATTACATTCCATATATCCTGTTAACTTGTAATTATTGGAAGTATCATTTAATTACAAAAAAAATATCGCTTCCTTTTCCTACAATTTTCAACTTCATCGAGGGATTATTTGCATAACTAAGATGTAATTATATAATAGGTAACTTTTAACATTAGTGTTTATAAACTAATCCTGTCCCACCAGTGAGAATTTCCTGAACTCTGATTAGTATGAAGCAGTGTATTAAAGAGGGGACTTATGTTATGGACCCAGTAATAAATAAGGGCAAAATAGATAATTATTATTTGAACTTCCTTAGTTATCACATTGCCATTGCCCCGACGTGTGTTATGTGTGTTGCTATGTCAAGCAATCTGTTAATAATACATAATATAGTTATACAGAGAAGGACTGCAATTGATTCGACGGTAAAGACTCGCTATTATGAAACAAAGGAATTTTAATTTCGTTTAAACCATGTTAACTATTGTCGCACACTTCGCGATCGTCTTTAATTTCTAACATGTCTAACGTACGTGACCTACATAGATAGGACATTTTCCACTTTTCATTAAGTATGAAATAACATGAGGTATAACTCTTTCATATTTTTATGTATAAAAAAAGTAGCGTTCCTTTTCTAAGCTCAGTTCAGCTCAGCTGATTATACTATTAAAATTAAAATATTATCATTATAAAAATTTCGTTCCAATTTTTCTGTCCGCTAGTTGACGAGTATAGACTTACGGTCAGTTGCACAAACGTCCATTAAGGTTTAATGACTCCTAAAATTCTAATGAATCTCAAATTTGATTGGGTAATGTTGCTTTAAACTAATGCAACTAGGTGTTAATCACATTGCCCTTTCATATTGGGCATTAATCCCTTAGTCTATGGCATATTGAAGTAGTAGTACTTGATTTATTGGATTTCATTTTCCACTACCTTTGAGGACTATATTCTGTTCCTGATCCTAATCCTTCCTATCCATCCTATGTTCCATCCTATGTTCTTGTTCTGTATAAACATTTACAAAATTCGCTTTCTTCATAAATATTATTACGTTATTCTTCCGTTGTAGCTAATATTGTTCCAACAATAAGAGAAACTTAATGTAATGCGGATGACGTTATGCGGTATGCTTGAAGACGTTTTACATATAGTATTATAAGTAAACTTGTTTCTAATAAGCGATTCAAGTCAGGTATACCTATTTAAGTAAAAGAATAACACCCTTCTAATATTTCTGTCTCTATTTTACTATAAACATATTACGTTAATAGTGATATTGTACAGTTTCATGTCAGGAAAAGTATTAACGCGTTTTTCTTGCCTCGGATAGATTGAAAATTAAATAATATTCTTTACGTATCATCATCATAGATGCATTGTTATCTACCAGTTGTATGAAATCGATGGAATCTATATCCACATTTAATTGTAATATCAAAATAAAATATTTTTTGGGAAGTGTATTGAGATTCAGTTCATTTTTTTTATAAGAGATTTATTAAAATTCGGTGAACTATCGAGCTATCGAGACTATAATGTAGAGCTTATTACTTAGAATTATAAATAACATATTTTTTTTGGGGTCAAAGCTCAATTAAAGACTACTTGATCATAAATTTCCAGTCCAATTATTTCAATTAACCTAGTTTAAATACCAAAAAATGTTATTAGAAACTAGCAACCGTAAAATACTAACATTCTTAAGTAAGTAACTTTCTAAAAATCTGATACTAATCCAAATTTAATAGTCTTAAAACTGGTAAACTAAATATATTTTGAAGATGCATCCTCTATCCGTATATACAATTTAAATCAATTGGCTGATAGCTAAAGAAGGATCAATTTGTAGTTTTGAAAGGGGTCACTTTGGCCCGCTAAAAATATCTACGTTGTAAGTCCCATTTGGACACATCTAGAACATCCGATTGCTTAAAAACCAAGCGTGGTTGTAGTTTTATATTTTCGTCGTGTTTCATACATATTTTGTTTTGTTTCAAAAGGGATCCAAAGTATGAGCCATAAAAAATTATTAAATTTGGATTAGAATCCAAATTTCATAATCTTGCTTATTTAAAACTTTTAGATTATTTAATAGAATAAAATTTTTTTGATCGCAATAGGTAATTGTTTTTTTTAATTTAATCTTTATGATTCTTCAAATGT